GTTTCATATTATAATCTTAGCTTCACAATTTATTATAATATAAAAATTCATCTTCATTGTTTCATGCTAATGTATATATGGCCTACTGCATTAGAAATGCTCCGTCCTAGCTAGTATTCTATTGGCGAACATTCAAACTGGTGTATTTATGGAGCAGACATCACCCGAAAATAAAGACCAATGGCAGTCATAATCATAATAACACTAATAATGGTAGGCATCAGTAATTAGTACCATAATATTGTCTCTAATTTAGACAGACGTGCCAAATATGTTCAGTGTGCCTTCCTTGACTACACATCTGCCTTTGACTCTGTACCTGAGCCTCTTTTGTTAAACAAGCTTACTGCAACACAAGCAGGCTGCCGGACTAATAAGTAGTTGCATTCTTATTTTTCTTACAAGGGGAAGTCCTCTACTGCTTTACTTTAGCTGGTATTCCTCAGGATGCTGTTCTTTCTCCTTTATTGTTTTCTTTCTTCTTACATCACTTGCCCCCTTGTAATGAAGCCGATTTTCTTAAGTATGCAGGTGATCACGTCGGTGGTTCAGCGGTAGAATTCTCGACAACCACACATGTGGTACATGGTTCGACCCTTGACCAACGCACTCCTAAATCTTGCTAAGCTGGTGTGGTAAGCTTAGTTGAGAGGGAAGGTTTGGAGTGAGGCTAGCAACCCCACTCCGTAAAAATAAAACCACTGCTACAGAAACTTCAAAGCTCTAGCTTGAAGCCCTATGCTCTATTCGGAAAGCAAAGGGATAAAATAAATTAAATAATGCCGATGATCTAACTGCTTGTCAGTCAGACTGTTCCAAAATGAATAACTCATTGGCAGGAATTAGTCAGAGATCCTCATCAAATGGTGTCAAGCTAAATCCATCCAGATATCAGGTCGCTAACTTCACGTTCGGACGCAAGCGCGACTTACATGAACTGGTTAGTTCTCATGGTTCCAAGATCATAGATGCCAGAGAGGTTGAAACTAAATCAAATGTTAAATACCTTGGACTGTGTATTTCTTCCTATGATCTTTCCTGGTCTTTCCACATCCTGTTAGTTTCTATAATGGTATATCGTTTAACGTACTATTTAAGGATGTTAAAACAATCTGATATCACTCAGTCTCTACTTTCTAAGTTTGTTAATTCTTGTATTCTACTTATCCTCCTTATGACACTGGGAAAGACACCAAAATCTGTCAGTAGGACGAGTGGGCTGTCGACATACCAACTCGTGAATACTGTTCTAGGTAGACAGATAGACTCATGCGAGAAATTAGCGAATATTATTTTCAAGTGTTGGTTTGCAGGTATCTGATTGGTTACAGGGTTTCATCATTAGTTTGCATCGGTTGGAGGAACATTGGAAAACCTAGAAGTGCTAGACAACTGTTTAGCCCTAGTTTGGGATTAATCAGCAGTATGCACCCGTCGGGATTCGAACCAGGGACCTTCCGGCTACAAGATTAGCTTGTCAGACCCTGAGCAACCTCCGCATACACAACTCTCCTCCTTGCATCTTATCAGGTAGAACTAGGAACAACTATGGAAGACTGTATGCTCGAACGACTAAGTATAAAAACTCTATAATAACTACACATTCTATGCGATGAGAAAAGTACGGGGAAGGACACTGCTAACTTACTGCGAAACCCTAAGTAAACAGCCCTCTTTTTGCTTTTCTATTTCATTATTATATTTTTTTAAATATTTTCACTTGATTTAACTTTATATTCATATTGATACTGAACAATATTATCAATGTAAATGCCCTGTTTTAATCATTACCCTTGTAATTCGAAAACGCCAAGAATTCGATATTTGTACCAAAAATACTGTTTGGAATAAAGCTATTGCCATTATGGTATAAGGCACGCTGCTGGAGCCATTCAAACACATAGGATTATGAAACAACTAGCATTCGAACAACCTAAAAAATGCAATAAATAGTGAACCCATGTAAGAAAATAACTGACAGTATAAAACATGCTGTTACAATATTCTAGCGGGAAGCCATGACCAGTAGGGTACAGCAGTTTGAAGGTGAGGCAGTAATTTATCGAAGAAGACATTATGAAGTGATCACGCTGTTATGATTTGTCAGAAGTTAGAATTCATGGAGTGGCCAATGGATCGAGTCCAAGTGGCTTATTGGTATGCAAACTGGCTCGTCTTGTAACCAGAAGGTCCTGGGTTCGAACGCTGGCAGTGGGTGCGTACCGATGAAGAGTCTCAAACTGGGACGAAACACATGTCCAGTATTCCCAGGTTTTTCAGTGGTTCTCTAACCGATGTCAGCTAATGATGAAATCCTCCCACCTATCAACAAAGTCCCTACAAAACCAATACTTGAAAATATTCAAATACGCTAGGACAAATGTGTCCAAATCCTAGTGTTTAAATAACTTAGCAACCTATCATATACCAAGAGGCGAAAATAGTCTCCGTTCTACATACATATTTGACATTCGGGTGAGTCATTATAATGCTATTGGTTATATTCTTTATGTTGTAAAAGATGACTAACACCCATTTATCATATTCCCTAATGTATTGTGTTGACTAAGCTGCCTGATACACCCTTGGTTTAGCAGAGTTCAAAGGGAGTTAACACTGAAGATCTAAAACAAGCCTGAGATGGAACGGGGAATGTGATGCTGTGGTGAGTGCTACTTATAATCAGGTATAAGTAGTATATCAGCAAACGGATATTTTGGGCACTGGAAAAAGCAACTGAAGAAGAGAACTGTCAGAAGAACGTCACAAAACTGTACAGAATTCAACAAGCTATCGAATGTAGTGATATCTGACCAATATGGGAATGATGTGCAAATAAAGACTTAAATATAAGGTATATCATAATTATGTACCTACAATGAGTTTGTTCTAATAGGCATGGCCTTCGAGTTTCATCTGTCTTTTCTTCCCTACAATACCACTGGAATCTCACTCAAGCTAACCTTAATCATGTAGCTTGACTAAATTCTGATGGTGTAGTATTTCACATTATATGATAAAAATAAATGCTGACCATGTGACTGTCATGTTGACTCTATGTACTCTATGCGTCGGTGGCACAGCGGATAGGACGCGCCGACCATGCACATGGTCCGGGGTTCGATCTCCGGCCACTGACGCACTCCTTTACCTCGCTAAGCCAGAAATAATGCTGGTAAAGAGGAAAGGTTGGGCATGAGGCTAGCGACCCCATCCTGTAAAAATAAACACTGCTACAGAAACTTCAAGCCTTCAGCTTGAAGCCCTATGTTCCACTGGGAACGTGAAGGAAAAATTATTATTATGTGACTGTCATGTTGATTTTATGTACGTTTAGATTTAGTCATAAAACAACTCTTGATTCATTATTATTAGTAATAATAATAATAAATAATTTTTCCTTCACGTTCCCAGTGGAACATAGGGCTTCAAGCTAGTGGCTTGAAGTTTCTGTGGCAGTGTTTACTTTTGCAGGATGGGGTCGCTAGCCTCATGCCCAACCTTTCCTCTTTACCAGCATTATTTCTGGCTTAGAGAGGTAAAAGAGTGCGTCAGTGGCCGGAGATCGAACCCCGGACCATGTGCATGGTCGGCGCGTCCTATCCGCTGTGCCACCGACGCGTTTATTATTATTAGTAATCATAACAATAAATATTTCTAAGACTATCCTTTTCAATAAATACAAAACTAACGGAGAATATTTTGATGTGGAGTTAGATTTGATGACGTTTAGAATTATTAAACTGTTTGATGTTTAGCGGGGAAATCAAAAATTAATTCATATCAAAACCAACAATCGTTTGCAGACAAAGTGATATTGTAGCAATTAAGGTTTATCAAGTGGGAACTTAACACGCTCGTCAAGCAATGTTAGCTGAGTTAGGATTCGTCAAATCAAAATATGTCATTATTCTATGAAGTCTTTGTTTGTTGATTTGAACTACATAGGACAGTGTCAGCTACCTGGTTGAGGTCCCTGAGACTCTAAGACCAAACGGCTGGACTGTGTTGGTGACACGGTACAAAACTGCTGTCGGTTGTACAGATACATTCATTTTTTGTGACCTCACAGCACTATTAAATTGTCATGGTTCTATGGTGAAAATTTCTTCCCTAGAACTGAGTGCATCGCAAATTGCTAACTGATTCTCAAATTGTGAATTTGACATGTAGTGTTGCCAGTTCTACCAAATAGCTAGTCAAGAATCGAGTGATTTGAATTGATTCGAATCTCTGAGCTGAGTTAAACCTGGTACACCGCTGATGAGCTCGGCTCAAAACGAAGAAACGACTGTCCAGTGTTTAGATCACCTCGATCTGGTTGGCTAGCAAGCACTAGTGGTTGATATGAGTGGCATACAACTACTCATTCCAATCAATTAGTAGTATATAGTTTTATATCATAGTGCCCTGTGTAATTATCATTTCTCCTACACATTTCTGTTTATTGCAGTTTCTTTATGGAGTGTGGCAACGTGAACTGTTACCATTTGGTGCAAATTCAGTTCAGATCGGTTAAGCCCACATTAAATAAACGTCTTTGACATAATACTGCGTTGAATTACATGTTGTACAGTATTAAGAAGTTCCGAATCACGATGCAATGGGCTGTCTAACATTTTCTAGCTTTCATTAGTACACCAGCCACTGCCTAAATATGATAAAATAGCTATCCTTAAAATCCTCAGTTAAGTCTGCTGGTAGCTCAATTCTAGATTGCTCACCAGTCACTGACATAGTCTGGGGATTGACTCCCAGCGGACGCACTTCTCACTTAGCCGGTAGTAAGTCTGGTGAAAAGGGAAAGGTTGGATGTAAGACCACCATGTAAAATAAAAAATATAAAAAATCACCCCTAAAATTTCAAAGGTCCAGGCTTGGAGCCCTGTGTTCCTGTCGGCTTACAAAGGAATAAAAGAAAACAGTGCACATTTAACAGTCGAATCAAACAAGTACTAACAATAACAATAAATAAAATTTAATTTAATTAAAGAGCCCACCTTCTTTTCATTAGGCATTTTATTCCAACGTTCTACTAACTGACGAGCTCTTCCAGAAGATGGAAATACATCGCCTTGTGCATTTGTCGCTGCTGGTTGAGATGGGTTGAGGACAATACGTGAAAGCTTCATTTGATGTAGGGGTGCATAAAACACATACACACATGAGAAATTATTCACAGAGAAGAATGTAAATTAGAAATCGATATTTAGCCAATAATAAATAAGAAACGTCTTTCACTAGGCTAAAGGAATCGAGACATGATGAATATATTAGCTTAAACGCTTAAATGCGTGACAAATTAAAATTAAAATTCTTAATAAAGTTACTAACTTGCCTCTACGCCTACGCCCCAATAAATCACTAGATACAGAGCCAAGAGTGAGTAGAAAATTTCTGTTTTCAACGCAAAATGCTCTCATGTTATCATTTATTCATAGCCTCTTCCAGGTAAGTCCCATCCACTGCCTTCAAGCAGTGACCGAGGATGTTGCTCACAGAAGTGAAAGGGCAAACACGAACGTCTCACGCTTATGACTAGACTGGTGGACATGTTGATCTGCCTAGTGAAGCTGGAAAACCCTGATTCAAAACCTATGGTACATATCAGCTCCAGAATCCGGACGAACTGAATGGCACAAAACCTGTTTCGGTCACCAGAAACCATGAGAACAATACTAGACTGCTTTGTGGGTCAGACTATAAGTCAAAGGCTCGGAGTATGGCCCTTTAAAACAATCATCTACTTTGCTCTGGACATCCGCGCAGTATCCCACTCCTCGCACAACCTATAAGATTTTGCGTGGTACATTTCTTGATGCCCACGATGCAAAATCTTTGTGTTTTAATGAGTAAATAAATAATGTCTTATAGTGTTTTTGTGTTAAGTGTCAATATAAGAGGTAGCAGACACGACCACGACCTAAGCTGGGCATATATCACAAGTCTGCTTAACTTACAAATCATTTTGGCTGTAGTTTTAGTCTCTTCTTCTTCATGTATCTAGATTCCCTTTCCTCATAGCAAATATAGACAGAGCCATCAGCCAAGGTTCGTTTAGCCTTGCAGTAAAATAATCTTAGTCTTTCTGTTGTGTGTCGAGTGAAATAACATTAATTTCAAATTTGATCATAAACTGACGTAAGTTAGAAAACCAAGGAGTACTAGACAGTTTGGCACTCTTAATTAGTACGTACCCATCTAGCCGTTCATTTGGTCACTGAAATGCAATCTGATGGATTTTGAATTCTAACTTATGTTAATTCGCGATATATAGCGCAACCTCTAGCTAATGTCATCAGCAAGTATTTATCCTCACCCACCTGGTCACAACTTTCCACTAGAAATTCAGGCTGCTTGATTCTGTAGTCAGTCACTAGCGAGCATGAGATGGTGGTTGAATGGTCAAAGAGCCCGCCTTATAGCCTGAAAGTCCTGGGTTCGATCCCTAGTGGGTGCACACTGGTGAAGAGCCCAAAACCAGGACGAAATAGATTTTCAGTAATCTCAGGTTTTAATGGTCCCTTCACTGATCTAATTTCGCGATCTAAGTTGAAAACAATAAAAGCCCACAAACCAACGCCTCGAATAACATTACAGTGAAAGAAACTGAAAGATGAACAGGCGAAAATTATGGTAGGCGCCAACTCCATAATGTTAATCATTACTAATCTGTTTAGAAGTTTTAGATGACTTATCTGTGGAGTTTTACATGAATAATGAGAACGTTTTACCCTAAAGACTCCACAGAAACATTTAATCTTTATTCCCTTCCACTATTTATGACGTTAGATCCCTTGGTGTTTTCTTTCTTTTGACTTAAAGGTGCTATACGACTTTTCTGACGATATGGTTTTCAATATCTTTTGTTGTTTGTCCTGTTAACTCGAAGACCTACACATTGTCCGGAGTGTAACACAGGGCGTCAACAGCACATCTCCATTTCATTCTGTTCTCTACGTCCTCTTTATCTGGCCCCACGGTCGCCTAAAAGCTTTCATCTCCTCCACATCACCCTCAGATGCCCAAGCCGTTCTTCCTCACTCGGGTTCCACCCGAGGGCTTGTCTCAACAGTCTTCTCACCGTGTGTCCGATCCATCTTCAGTCTCTTCTGCATGTTTGTTGGGTAACATATTCTTGGTTTGTTCACTGCCAAAGTTCCTTGTTGCTAATCTCCTTTCTTGTTATTTGGTCTTCCCCGTTGAGACAACGGAGGCAGCTGTGTGAATAAAAGTCTGCATTAGCCTATTGGAAATGTTTTTCGTGACATGCTAATCCCATGAACCACATAGAAGCGTTGACTGGAGATTAGTGTTGAAAAGTGTCACTCTGTTGTTTATAGTGAGTGCAGCCGACCGATTTCCACACTGATCTCAGAGTAATGAAAGTACTGTGTTGATAATATTTGCCTATATATCTATCTATCCACCAATCTCTCAGTAAACTTACTCACTTCGCTACATCTTTTTTCTCACGCAAATATATACAACAACTTGGTTACATCAATACTGTTACTGTTTAAGTGTACAAACAGTGGAACAGTCAACTAACAGCAGAGATTTCACTTCAATCAACAATTTTCTTTACTTGAGCAAGACAAAATATTTTAATTAAATAACGACAATTATATAACAGTAAGTATAATAATGATAATAATAAGTTCACCTGATTTTGAGTTGAATAACTCTGTGTACTGCCACCACCATTCATTTTATTTCCAGTCTCTAAACCTTGAAATTTAGCTACTAATGCTTGAGTGACATGTCCAGATGGACGTTCTTCTACTGGAATTGGTGAATCGCTTCGTCTATCTATAAAGTTATAAAAAATGAATTAAAATAAATAAAATCATTAAGACAAACAAATACATACGCAAACTGTTATAAGTATTACAAACCAGTAAACAAGAATAAGTTAATAATTCTGAATTGTTATTAGATGGCTAGAAGCAATCTGCTGACCTAGGTTTCGTGCTTCTTGGCACACGTCAGTGAGGTATAACTCCAAAGAACTTATGACCCTTCTGAGATTCGAATTCAGATCACCCGGGGCTGCAGTCGGGGATGCTGCCACTAAGCTGTTCGGGTTCGAGATTAATTTCCTGGAGGATACTAGGCAGTAACTAATATCACGCGTCTCTGACTACAGCACTAGGCGACCTGGCTTCTAGTCTCAGAAGAGAAACAAGTCCTTCAAGATTGCAAATGCGCCTGCCAACTGATGAGTGCCAACAATCACGAAACCTAGGTACACAAGGCTTCCTGCCGATTGGCTTCAACTATCTAACAACAACTCAGCATGTAACGTGATGCTAAGCCACCTAGTATATTGGTCACATAGCAAACTTGACTGACAGAATTCAGTCTGCACCAGTACCAAGGACTTAATCATTGAAATAAGAGGATAGGTAAATATTCCAGCAGGTGAACATCTCATTAACACTTTTTACACACTCGAATAATGATGTATGAACCACTCTATAACCGGAAGGTCTTGAGTTTGAACGCTGGTACGTGCTTACTGTCGACAAATCCTAAACTAGACAGAAACAAGCGGTTGTCCAGTACCTCATCGTTTTCACTGGTTCTCCAACCGATATCAATCCATCCTCAAGCTTGCTACACATCAAATCCCTGCAAGCTAATACTTGACAGTTAATCTGATGCTCACTAGTGTGACTGGCTACATGAGGAAGTTGCCTGGAGTTCTAGTGAGAAGTCGTAACCGGCTGGGTCCTCTCGACCCAACGTGAGTTCAAATACTCGCCGACGACATTGGCTGGTGCCAGTTGCGCTGAAATCACAAACTGGTAAAAGCTAAATTCCTTGGGCCATTCGATCCTGTCTCACTGGGGATAAAATGATTTACAGACTGGCCTTGTGACACGAAAGTCCTGGGTTCGATCCCTGGTGGGGTCATGGATAAGTACCTCTGATGAGTCTCAAATAAACAAAATGTACATCCTAGATTTCAAAACGTGAAATTAAATTTTATTACCACACCTTATCCATACAAAACCTATATATAATTACATAGATAGGAATTGAGTACTTCAAAAAGTATTGTTAAATAAAATAATTTTAAACTTTCAGCATTCAGTGTAACTGTCTGTCTAACTTGATTGATGAACCAGTTAGACCAGCTTGTGAGAAAATTAATACACACCACACACATCTGTTATACTCATACTAATAATTTAGTTTTACCACTCACAGTATTGTTACATCATTTCATCTTTATGTTTATATCACACACGACACTAATTTTTTATCTTTGAAAAATGATCATGATTAATTTGGATATTTTAATTAGAATTCGATAAATACGGTAGAATAGACTAATTAATTATAATTATTAAGTTAAATTTAAACCATCACACCAATTGGAATTAAATGAAGGGGGAACATGGAATGAATGCTTCTAGTACAGGTTTTTGCTCTTGACAAGCATGGTAGGCTGGAATTGAGGAAGGCGTCAACAATTCATTATGTTCCAAACTATTTGTCATGAATAAAGGACACTGAAGAATTAGACATGTTGATAAGTTTCTCACGAATTGATTAGTTTGTTTAATTGTACAACTTTCATGTTATCTTTGCGGACAACATTTTCAGTGCTAACCATAGTGTGAAGTTTCGCACTTGTGAACAATCGAGTTTAGAGGTTTCACATAACTAGGGCAATTTATAGTAATATACTATTTGACCAACACCACCACCATCAAATAACAACCAGATATATCTTGGCATAGGTATGCTTGTACTTTGATTAGACATTAGTAACTAGTGTGATGTGTCTAGTACTTTCTTTGGTGCAGACTGAATTCTATCAGTCAGGTTGTAATGTGGCCACCATTCTAGGTAGCTCGCCATCACGGTGCACATTGATTTGATGATATATTAGACGGTTGGAGACAGTCAGCAAGAAGCCTTGGAACTAGGTTTCGTGCTTGTTGGTACTTATGTTCCTTATGAGACTCGAACCCGCGTCACCTATTGAGTACAGCAGTCAGAGACATTACCACTGAGCTATTTGGGCTCGCGAGCCCATCTCTTACTGTAGCACTTGGTGGCGCGGGTTCGAATCTCAGAAGGGAAATGAATTCCTTCAAGATTGTGGATACGCCTTGCTGACTAGTGAGTGCCAACTAGCACGAAACCTAGGTCCAAGGCTTCCTGCCGATTTCCTCCAAATATCTAATATAAAAGTATGTTTATATCTTATTAGGGTTGATGAATACCTAGTTAGATTTTTTTTTTGAAGATTTATTCTAATCATCGCTTATACAAATAGTCAAATCAAAGTAACAAAGTACACACAACACGCTATTCCATGGCATACTTTTTGAATGTTTCTTTGCATAAACACCACAAAAACCGCACCTTCGATAGGAACAAAACACTCTACATAGCAGATGAATTAGAGAGTTACAAAACCTTCATATCTCATAGCCATCCTTTCTAGACATTAAAAGTTTGTTCCGAAAATAGGAAAAAACCTTTAAACTGAGAGTGTAGCGGGTGCTACTGACAAGACTTATAAGCAGTATGTGGCTGCAGATATAAGTATGAATATCGAATAATAGGGAGATGAATTTAATAGTCAAGGGAAGAAATAAACGATGCTTGTGAAACAATATGGAAAACATGAAAGGCCGAGAAAGCAGCACAATACCGAGGAAATGTGCAAATTGTGGTTTTAACGTCTGGTAGGCATATTTTCCTTATGTGTGTGTATCGAGTTTCTAATAAATAATTCCGTTAGCAAATTCTTTTGCCTTCTGCTTGTACAAAAGAAAACAGAATAATTTCATGTTAACAGGGAATGTATGTGACAAACACGCTCAGCTGCTATCATTTTAGAAAATAATGATGTCTCCCTTAGGATATGATCGCCAGTTAAAATATGTCCTCAGGACGCTGAGAATCGATGCCTGTAATGAGACTCAAAACATGCAAAACCGTGTATTAACGCTTTGCCATCATGGGAAGTCTGAATACTTTCAATATAATTCACAAAACTATTCCCCTTCCCACTCATGTTTACCAATTGCAGTATCACTACATTTCTAACTTCTTGTATTTGAACTTTTACTAAGTGTAGCAACTTAAAGTGATACACACCTGTGTAATAAAGACCTCCAGTTAAAATTCTTTTATATGATACTCCTTATATCCTAATTACCTGAGGCATCACTTCTAGCGGAATGATGTTTTGTGGAACGTACATCTAGTTGGGAAATGGACCAATCAAAATGGACTCTGTGCTAACTAAGACTAACGATAGTGAGACTGACAGATGACCAATCGTCTGCAGTTTTGCGATAGAATAATGAACTGCTTTAAGGTGAATGTACCTTCCAGATACGTTTCAGTGTCTTTTCTTCATGAATTAGCACGGTGGGAGAATCACTTGGATGACGAAAAGCTGATATTCGTCCATAGCTGTAGCTACAACTATTGTTGCATTTCCCTCTTAAGCTACCAGAATGATAAATTAGGAACCTAAAATTTACCATTAAGTTAATGAATACTCTAATCGAAATAGATACATAAAAAGGTGCAGCTAAACTTATAGTAGATAAATACATTCGATCACAACACTACTAGTATATTAATATCAGTATTATTATTTCAAGTATTGGTTTTGTAGGGATTGTTTTTTGTTTGATTGATTGGAGGATTTCACCATGAGCTGACATCGGTTAGAGAACCATTGGAAAACTAGTATTGGAGTGCCGGATAGATGTTTCGTCCTATTTTAGGACTCTTCACAGTACGAACCCACGGGGGTTCGAACCCAGGACCTTCTGGTTAGAAGGCGAGCTCGTATTACTATTATAATCATGATCATTATTTCACTCCGAATGGAATAAAGGGCTACTCGAGCGCACAACTTCACTGAAGTGTGTTCTCTGCCACCTTTTCAAGTTGGCTTCACAAGTACAAACAAGCTCTCGTTTTCTCCTCACACGACTTTCAGGTTACCCTCGGACGCCCAATCCATCACTTCTTATTCGAGTCCTACTCGAAAGTCTAAAGTGTAATGCCAGTCAGTAGTCTTCCCAGACTATGTCCAATTCATCTCCACTTCCTTCCTTCTATTTATTGAACAATAGGTTCTTGGTTGGTTCGCTGCTTCTTCCAAAGTTCCATCTTTTTTAACTGGTCATTTGATTTTCAGTATGAAGTGAACGCAGGTATGTTCATGGAAATCTGTAGTAGTCTGTAGCAAGTCCTCGAACCATATATGCATGTACTGACTTGACACTAGTGTTGGAAACTCCAGTTTCACTCCTTGTGCTAAATGTTGTAGATCTCCACACACTGATTTCAGAGCGATAAATGCATGTCTTACTTTCCTGATTCTGGTCGGCTTTGCAGTTATCATCCGTACCACTCATAGTTGAAACGACGCTGTACTTCATTCAAATTCCTCCCATTGATGCCGATTAGTGTTTGTTGCTGTTGCCGTTGGTTGGGTACCTTCATCACATGTGCCTTCTACATGTTGATCTAAAGTCCTATTTTGCCTGTCGCTTCTGCCAACTTTTTGGTTTTCACCTGTTTATCTTCTAGTTTGTGTGACATGAGACAGGCCTTTTAGGGGTCATTTTGTCAGTCTAGTACTGTATGCCCATCTCCTCATACTCCCACTCATATTCAAAATCATTGCATACAATATCAGTATGCTTAAAATATACACCAGCCAGGTAAATTTATTCACACAAAAAAAATATTACACGTAAATTGTGTTTAGACTATATATTATATCCAGTGTATCACATAGGATATACAGTCTACAAGTTATC